CAGAAGCGGCACGAAGAGGGTGGAGTTCCCACAGTAGGTGGAGCTAGTGGCTATTTGGTACAGCCCAGAGTAGCTAAAAACTAAAAATGCAGAGATTCTCTTTGGAAGCAGCAAGATGCCTCTACAAATGGGTCTGGCTGAAGAACGGAGCTGAGCGTATCACAGAGTTGGTTTTCTTCAAAGAGTTGTTTGAAAAAAAATTGTGAAACTTGTAAAATATTCACTTGGAGTGAAAAGACGAAGATGAGAAAAACTACGAAAACTTGAATATAGTAATCAAATCGTTGAAAAGATGGCAGAGTCGTGTTCCCCTCGGAATGTTTCCCTTATCGGGCAGTGTTTACATGCGAAGTAGTAAAAAGGCACAAAATCAGATGTTACAAAAAATTCTAGAAATCGTGATTGCCCTGAGAAAGAAGGGGGAAGGGGGAGGGTCCGCGGTGATATCTAGCGTGATCAAGTGAGGATTGCACTTTGTATATAGCGTGATCCTCGAAAACGGTGGGGCAGGTGAAGAGGACTGGCTGGATCGCAATCACAGCAGCCCTTTCCACCAGTTGTTGCTAGTTCAGGATAGCATCATTGGTGAAGAAGACCGCAAGGCAGCGCTCCAATCCACGCTCCGTCGCATCCCTTACTTTGCAAGGATCATGACTGTAAGATTGCTCAACTGAAGACTCACAAAAAGAAGAAGCGGTCTACTAGGGGCTTCATGCGCCATCGAATAAAAAAAGAAAGACGCCGTTGTCCGGCGCGGATTTCTGGAAAATTGCGAATGTCATGAATGTTCCAATTTAATTTTAACTTTTTTTCAGTTTGGAAACCTACTGACGGTTGTGGATTTCTCTCTGCTGTTTGTATTTCTGGGTTTATTCACGACGTCGTCTATCGCATTGTGTCTTTTGGTGTCGACTTTCTTCACAAACGCGAACATTTCAACTGCAGCTACCTGTCTCGTCTATTTCTTATTCTTCTATCCCTATCAGCTGAGCGTTAAAGCACGGAACAAGACGTTCACAAAATTCACGGTAAGCATGACACCACTGGTATTTGTTTGATTCGCGACTATTGAAACCAATCGTAACAACGTTTTTGACGTACTTCTGATCTTCATCAGCTTTTTGGCTTTTGGCTGGTTTTCGTAGAACCACGACTGAGACAATGACCCCGGTGAATACGGTTTTCCTTAGAAAAAGGTCCCTAGCCGCGCCAATTACAACCCCCCCCCTGACAAGCCTGAGCGTTCGCAGCGGACAGGACTATAGATCCCTCATTGCTACAACTCTACTTTTCAACTGACGGATGGGTGGAGATGGAATTCTGGGTCCATGTATGCGTAAACATTCCGCTCCTAATAGCGCTTTACGCCATATCAATTTCCTGGAGCCTTCACAAGCCTTAAGTCACGAGCAGCACTTCATTTCTTGGCAGAGTCCACAATCATTTGTGGAATTTTCACTAAATAATAACTTTCGCGTGTGGAAGGGAAGGTAGCAACCGCAGAGGTTGTCTCGCTTCCTCGTCCTGACATGGGGCAATAGTGCCTGAGACCTGTTAACTACTGCATTAGCTGGAGTAGAAAATGCTGCTGACTGTCGCACGGTCTCTTACGTCTATATATCTCTATATCTATTCCTTTCTGTCTCTTGCTTTGCCGTCCAGTCTCTCGTTTGGGTGCACGCTGTTTCTTTGCTGTACTTATGCTACGCTGCCGGAAGTCAACTGCAAAAAAGGCTACCTAGCATAGTGCATTTTTGACGATTAGCTGTTTCCTCCTTTATCGAGTCAGTTTTCATCTACACATTCATATTTGAGCCTCATGGCCCATGTCTTGCTATTATGGATTACGCCTTTACATCATTTATTCGATGAGCCTCAAGAAAAGAAAACCAGCTAGTCCGTTCCCCGATTTTCCTTATATTTTACGTTTCAGCTGATATTTCCACAAACCACGCTTGGCTACGGTGCGGCTATGTTGGCGATTTACAGTGGCGAAGGAAAGGGTACTTGGAAAGACATTGACAGCATCTATTTAGAAGGTTTGTTTCAAGAGAGCATCATGGTCAGGGGCACAAGACTAGTTTGGAGTCAATTAATCCAGCCTTTTAGCTTACGATGTCAGCTTAGTGGAGTGCATGATAGCGTTTGTGCTACAGATTGTATTGTTCATCATTCTAGCATGGTACAAAAGTGCTGTCTCTCCAGGTTAGTTTAGCTCTTGATCTGTAGTTGTATTAGCTGCCCACACTAGTTTGACCTGTGAGATTGAACAGAAGGAATTCGTTGCAGTTCTGGTGGGTGCCCAGGTGCTAAGGTGGGAGCTGTATTTCCAGTAGAATACAAGCAATCTCCTGGTATGCTGCGCCTGATCTCCAGCTCCCTCCTCAACTTTCTGGAACCATTCGCTTCTAAATAGGGCTTTGAAGGAAAGTGGCACGATAAATCTTCAAGACAGGATTGAGACAGGAAGTAGGATTAGTACCCCTAGCAGGGTAGAGTTCAGCGCCCCTGTGTAGACGCTGCGTAGTGCCTTTCCCAAGGAAGGTTCCCCTGTAGAGAAAGGACGGATTACCCCTCGCGACAAGTTTTCAGCCCATTAGTTATATTATTGTTAGAGGTTTTTGGCATAGCACCTGGGCTACGGGGGTCATGCAGCTTCATGGAAAGTGGATTCGAAATATTTGAAATTGTGAGATCGAACTACCCCAAGAGGCAGGATCTCAGAAAACGCTATCAGTGGGAAAATGCGATCAAAGTCATGTCTTGTATGGATTGGGGTGCAAGGGTAAATTGTGCCACGTTCTTCGTGGTGGGATGGCAGTCCAGAATATGCCATGCGACCGACACTGTTGTTGTTTTGTAGAGCCGGCTTTATGAGCCCGAGGTGACTCATAAATGTCAGAGTGGTAATGCGAAGTGGAATTTCATCCTTTTGACACAGCTCTGAACATGAGTATACCTGACTCATGTGGAGGCTAACTCGAATTGGTGGATGGGATCAACATTTCAGTTATGCTTGCGTGAGGGCGACGCCTTTTCCAGCTGCCTCCATAAATCCCAAAGAACATCGCCTACTAGCTACTTTTTTGGATGAACTCGTTTGAAAGTATTTGAGTTTCAACGCCTTGCAGGAATTTATGGTGTATCGCTGCCTTGGTACTTTTTTCTCACAAAGCGCTACTGGTTTCCTGATTCTGTCGAGAGCATTGATGTGAATCTCCCAGCCGATTCAGCAGAGCCAGGTAATGTTTGGTGTAACTGTTGCTACGTAGTCTTGTGTGGAACGTCAATAATTTCTTGATTTCAGCTAGTGACAGCTTTGACAGTGAACCTAAAGACCTCCCTCTCACGGTGTCTATCACTCGAATGAGTAAAATTTACAGTAATGGGACAAGGGCGGTGAGTATTCTGTGGATTTCTCACGACTTGTTTTTTCCCTTAATTTGAATGAAATGCGTTTACAGCTGGACAGTCTAACACTGAATCTTTATGAAGACCAAATCACGGCTCTTCTGGGACACAATGGAGCGGGAAAAACGACTACTATGTAGGTCTTTCGTGATTTTTTTCAAATCCACGTGAACACCTCATGATGTTTCAACTGTTTGACGGAATTCTATTTGGCGCCGCGTTTCCCCAGCTACCAGTCAACAGCGCTTTGCCGGAAAATGATTCTAATATACAACTGTTCCATTTCAGGTCGATCCTCTGTGGCTTATATTCACCATCATCAGGCACAGCGTCGATTTATGGTATGGATATCAGGAAGGAAATCCAGCGTGTCAGAGATGTGCTAGGGGTCTGCCCGCAGCACAATGTTCTGTTTACACAGTAGGTTCTAGCGAATTTCCTTGGCCTGGAACTTCTCAGAAGAATTTTTTTCAGTTTGACCGTATCCGAACAGCTGAAGCTCTTTGCTGCACTGAAAGGTACACCAGACGATCGAATTCAGCATGTAAGCATACCGTACGGTTGTAAAATGCCATTTTACTCGAAGTATCTGGGAACTATGACATCCAAGTAACCCTCGGAGAGAAACTTTGTACCACTTCTCTCAGCTCGATTTTGTATAATGGAAATTCTCGGAATTCTGCAGTATATCATCATCGGTACAGCATCGTGATGTGTGAACTGGTGGTGTAGGTACGACCCCCCCCCTCGAGAGAGAGGGTGTCAGTACGACCCAACTTAAATGGCGGTTTCGGTACGGCCTCCCCCTTCCCCAACACCTACCTTACGATATCCCACATTGCCAGTGTTTCACTCAAGAGTTTTTCGTCGAGCGGGGCGGGGGGGGTATATAGGGGTATATAGTACACATGAAACAGGAAAAATACCGAGAAAGAAAAAATTTTTCCCAACACGGCAGATTTGCTGAAAGGCACATACGACCCTCCCTCTCCCAACAAGGACCAAGTACAACCTCTCCCCTCCCCAGCGGAAAAGTACCACCCCCCCCATGTGTTTCACACAAAGATGCTGCACTCAACGATCACCAGTCCTTTTCGGTCTGTCTTTATGGAACATCTTGTTTCAGGAGGTTGATGAAATTCTTCAGTCGGTGTCATTGGTAGACAAGACAAACGAACTCGCTAGCACTCTGTCAGGTATCTTATCCAATCATTGTTAATTTTCGAAGCGGAAGAGAAGGCTGTTTGGTCAGAAGACAGGGCATTCTGCACTGCTAAATCACCTGTTAGCTCCTCTTGACACAAATGTGAAGTCTTGTGAAGCTGTAAAATGGTGCAATTGAGCCTTTCACTGGCAAGAATTCACGGGTTTCGGCAGAATAGCGTGGACAAGCTTTGCTGAGCACCATTTGGTCCCCACCAAGCCAAACTGTGCCCTTTTCTATTTCATTCAATACTAAGGACAATGGGTTTAGGTGGAATGAAGCGCCGTTTGTGTATTGGAATCGCGTTGGTGGGAGGTTCCCGATTTGTGATTCTCGACGAGCCAACTGCAGGTGTCGATGTGACCAGCAGAAAAGAGATTTGGTCATTACTACAGAACAACAAGAAAGGTTAGTTTACTGTTGCTAAAGAAAGTGCAAGTTGTCACGATGAATTCATAGCAAACTAATGGGCGAGATTAGTAAAACAGTCTACTAGTGGAATCGCGGTGTGCTAGCGCTCTGGCACAATGGGTGGTCGCATGCGCTTCACCAGACAGCTTGCTGTGGCGTTATCTCTGTCTTCAAGGTTGGGACCACACTGTCTTCAAATCCGGGACCACAGAACTAGAAAAATCGTTGGTTTTGTAGCTGGAACACTGCACCCTGACACCATGCGGAAACTGTTCCGATAGATACCGGACCCTTTGAGAACTGCTTTGATAGGCCTTCTGAACCTTCCTTATTCACAACTTGAGGTTGAATCACAAGAGTTTGATAGGGAATCTGACCCTAAATTAGGGTAACCTGAGATAGCATAAGTGACGGATGCAAGATCCAAGTCATCTTCTTATTATAGCATACCTACCTTTCTTCTGATCCTCAAGATACCCCCCCCACCACCACTGCTTTAAAATCAGCACTGCACTCTTATTGTGCGAGACATTTCTGCATTTTGGCGCTTGTAAGTCGCGCTTACAAATATCATACGTCCTTTTATCGTGGCGTAATGCCTTAATGACTCATCCGTTCGGTGAGGACCAGGTAAGATTTCGCTTGCTTCTTGTGAGTCGTTTTAGTCTTCAAGTGTAACATGCTGTATCAGCACTAAAACTTCGCTGAAACATTCATTGTTAGTCTCAACCATTTTGCTCTTCTTTTCATACAATGAATCTTGCTATAACTTCGGTGTCTACTATAAAGGCAGCTCCTCAGCCGTTCATTGAATGAAGTTGTGGGGACTCAGCACAGTTAGCAGGGACAATCGTTTTATTATTCGAAGAATAAAACAAAACTGGATATGCTCCCCTATAAGGAATGTCTCACCAGAGGAGAAGTTGTACGTGCTTGAGGCGAAGAGAGGGCGTTTCCGCACGAGTTCTCACTTGTTAATTCAGCTGTTTTTCCTTATCACCTCATTCTCGCCATTCGAAGTGGGAGAGTTAGCAGCAAATACGCAGCATCAAGAGCAGCCACCAGAATGAATGATGGGCGTAGTGGTCGCCAGGTGGGCGGGGTGGCCGACTATTTCCCAGCGGACACCGCTATTCTCTCGCATTTTTGAGTTGCGAAACTAATACGACTATCTCTGCATTATGGTGAGTCTACATTTCGCAAATAGGGCGGTGGCAACAACAAATGAAGCGCGGCGCGCTGCCTTTAAGAGTTGTTTGACGTATTTCAGGTTGGTTTACTGATTGTCCTTCTCTTTTTTCAGGACGCACTATTCTATATCTACGAGAAGCCGACCTATGGGACGAGCGGACATTCTTTCCGATCGCATCGCTCTTCTGTCGGAGGGTCGTCTGATCACCCTTGGAAGTTCCATGTTCCTCAAAAATAGATATGGCAATGCATTCCAGGTTTTCGCTTGCAAAAAGGTAATCCAGCATTACCCTTTCTGTGTGCATGGTCGGCTCTAATAATGTTCATGAGTGTCAAAATTTTGATCGGGAATTTTTTTGTAGGATCAAGCTCGTGATTACACTGCGGTTGTCACCAGAATCATCACTGAAGCGGCAATCCCGATTAAGCTAAGCGATGAGACCGAGAATGAATTAGTGTTTTCGTGAGTTTTCATTTGGATGTTCTCGTTTTCCTTTGTATCGAAGAAAGTCTAGTCATTGTTCAAGAAAGTGTGTAGCAGTATTCACCCTTTGATGCTCGACTTTTTGAAATTCAGGGTCATATTCCTATTTAGGGAGTCAAATTGGGCGTGGCGATACAATTCCAACTCATTCAAGATTCTCACTCAGTCTTCAAAAAATGAGTTAGCTAAGGGATAAGAGTTCCAAGTTCGATGGCTGCAAAGGAGAGGACATGACGAAACCCTTGAAGTTCGGTCGAGCAGGCCTTTTCACTAAACTCCTTTGCGTGGAACGCACCTGTCATTTGTTGCGACCTCAAAGGCACATTCCGCGCTTACCCATTGGGTAGAATCTCTCTATTGTACAGGTGCAGTCATTTTCGCAGCGAACGCTGGCCGTGTCAGAGGTTGGTCTTGGCGCGGCGCCAGCCCGTGCTCTACAAACTGCTGTAGTAGGCAAGCGACAACAACTGGTGGTAAACAGGCTGGCGCCGCGCCAAACCCAGCCCCTCCCCCGCGACACCCCTCACGTCGCTCACAGCTAAAGGACTACAGCTCGATTCGCGACCCCAGAGCTTATTCCCCATTCAGGGCCACCGAAGTGGAGAGCGCTTTAGATCCTAAGCCGGAGGTAGGCTACTCGTAGGATGTGCTTCCTATGTGGGTACGAGACATGTCTGCGGTCTTCCGAGGAGCCGTATAAGCACATGTGTGACACGTTACGTGCAGACCGACCTGATGTATCTTTCGTGGTGCTGTTCCTTCGTCATTCTTTTCCTGATCTCTCACCTTCGCAGCAGTGTTTCATTCGTTGGAATGTTTGTCTAGTCATGACTACCATGTGTCTTATATGGCTTTTCTCCATTTTTCTACTACTAGGTCAGCTAATAGTAGGAAAATCATAGTTGAGTTCTAAAACATACGGACTGTAATCGCAAAGTGTGTCTCCAAGCTACTAATCAGTAACAACTTTGCATGCGCCATTGGAAGTTCACGTAAAGCTTGCTCATTTCGTTACTAATAGTCCAGTTTTCTTCGATAGTGTGATTTTAACCTTTTGTGAATAGTAAGTTTTGTTGTTACAGTATTCCTATATCGACGGACTCACGAAAACTTGAGAAGTTTTTCACGTTTTTCGATATGAACAAAGAGCAGTACTGGATCGGGGACTATGGAATATCGGCGCCCACCTTACAAGAGGTATCTTTACTATAGTTTCCAATGGATGCTTGAGTCACGACAAATTCCATCAACTGTTCAGATCTTCGTGAGTCTGAGTCCACAAAAGGAATACGTAGTACCGAAACATCGAGCTGGACTCCTTTCAAAAATAAAGAAAAGTTTCCGCGGAGGGGTGGTGGAAAGCGATGAAAGGCAGTTAATAAAAAGCATGGCTACATCAAATGACACCGGTAGCAGTACTACTACTCCAAGCGGTAGCGGTACCCGTTTACCTACAATAACCGCTAATAACAGAGAAACGCCGCCGGACGACTTCGAAGAAGGTATGTATTGCTTTCTTGTTGGATTCTGCTGACATTGAATCCATTAGGTAGTTTACGAATGCAATGGAAAAAAGAATTTTTGGAAATACTCTGAGGCCTAAGAGGCAGTACCCCTTCGAACTAGCATCGTGCTATCAGCTTTTTAGTTACAGGCGTACAATTATGTTGAGCTTCAGAAATTGTGCAAGAACACCAGTAAAAAGAGCGACTACGGAGGCAATAATGAGCCCAGATCACAGTACACAATCCGTAGCAAGAAGCACTATTCTTTTGAGGTAAGGCTCTATCGTTCACAGCTGAGGCCTTACGGATTGCCTCAGATCTTAGCTACTTTAAACGCTATTGAATCTCTTTCTCTAACCTAGTGTTGTGTGATTTAGCTGCAAACAATCGCGCATCTGCTTTTTTAGGTCGTATGCCTGTATTGTGCTGCTGTTCCAGGTCCTTGTGAGCTTGTAAGCCTCGACACTTTCAATTGTCAGGTCAAACGACATCGATGGTGACCTCACAGCCTCCACTTCCTTTGATAGGGGAGATGTATGGAAACAACACCTACAGTTATGTTAGGTAAGGGCTAAATTTGTATTCCTGTGTTTACTCAATCACTTACCATACATTTTGCAATTAATAGTCCTAAACTGGAGCCCAGACGTGAATTTGTAAGCCCTAGTTTGATTCCGCAAACGAATAGGCAGGGTCGCATGAGGCGTGGACTTGACGTGGGTGCGCCGGCAGCGGAGCAAAGGTTGATGGCCTGCGCCTCCGCCACTGTGCCCAGAACAACAGCAACCTTCATGTGGAAGGAAAAAGAAGGATAATATTGAACTATAGTGGACGCTTATAGGTGAGGTAGTAGTGAGAGAATACAGAAAAGTCGACTGTCACTGCGAGTTACTTCAGTATATGGCGAAACAGGCTGAATAGTTCCCTTCGATTACCGTTATACCGTTATAAAGTCACATCCAACTGTTGGCAATTTGCCAAACCTCACCTTAAACGTTTGCGTAAGAGCTGTTTGCGTCGTTTTCACAATCGAAGGGAACTATTTCGCCAGTTTCGCCATTTGCTGAAGTAATTCGCCCTGATAGTCGACTTTTCTGTATTCTCTCACCACTACCACTAACTCACCTGTAAGCATCCACTATCTGTTCAGTCATCTTTCTCTCTCTATTTTCCTCTTTTTCCTTCCACACAAAAGCCACCTTTCGCTTCGCCCTGCCGCCGCGGTGACGTCAAAAATTCGCGCCGCAACGAGCATGGGCATGCGTTTCTCCACGGAGTCAATTGACTCACACGTAGAACATGCGGAGCTCTCGGAGCTAACGTGATCAAAGCCTGCTTTTCCCCGTTCGATCTTGAGCCGTGCACGGCCGTGAGGAAAAGCGAAGAGTCACTAGGAAAAGGGCGAGAGACCGGAAACAAAGTATGGGAAAGAACGATAAGCGAGTCGACAGACCTGGTCCCACGAGCATGTGTTCGGAACACTTTCCATCTCTTGATGATACTTCCACGTGGTGACCGGCATTGCTACAGAAGATGACGGTCTCGGCGCTTTCGTCACTCACTTTCAAAGCACGAAAACTTTGCAATTTCTGTGGGCAGAGCTGTCTTACACAGCTAGGGAAGTGTGAATATCATGTGAAGTTGTGAGCTGCGTCGTTAAGGCAAAATCCACGTACATTGCACTCATTTCTCTTCCTCGCTTATATGGCCGCGGAAAAGAAGTTGAGAAATGCATCTCTTAAGGCACAGTCCAGATTCATTGCATGGGCGGAATCAGGCCACATATGCATTCCATTTCCTCTTCTTCACTCTTGTAGCCATGAAGTGGAGAAGCGCGCCGGTGAGGAATCTAGAATAACATGACTGCCTTCCTTCGGACGAGCACATGACCCGCCTTCGAAAAAGAAAATCCGCGATTGCCTGATTTACAAAGTACTTCTGGGATGAGCTGGGCTAGCAGTCTGTTAGGCAATGAAGTTAGGTATGTTCATCAGCAATTTATGGTGTTTTCAGCCTATGGGACCGGAATTCATCGTCCATTTCCTATAAAATAATGAAATCCTTCGAGGAACCACCCGATATGGGAACTCGTTGTGTGAATGACGTGCCCATATTCCACAGGTATTTTA